TTTAAACTTCATTAAATCTAAAGCAAAACGCTCGTTGTTTTAATGCCTGAAATTTAATTATGAAATTAATTATGATAACAGTCTGGTTACCATTCGAAAAGGCTGCTGCATTCTTGGAATTTGGTAACTGCTTTTAAATATTAAAAACCTTATTTTTTAAAAAGTGACTAAAATGATTACGTTATTGAGGATTAAATTTTAGTAAGATAAATCGAGGCGAAATTTAACTAAAAGTAAATAAAGTTTTTATTTTGGTTGCTAAGAGAATCGAGTTACATTTTAAAACAAACATGTGAATAAGTAAAGTTTATATACATAGTTTGAAAGCGAGTTAGGTTTGCTTTAAAGAAAAGAAAACGAAGTTAGACAAATTTTCTTTCTTATTTATTTGAAAGATTAATTTTTCTTTTTTCGAAGGATTAGATAAATCAATTAGCATTTTGGACACACATTTAGTTTACTTTACTTTAAGACATTATTTCAAATATTTCACTTAAGAGAATAAATCATTCTTAATTTTATTTTTTTATCAATAGTCATATCAACGCAATATTTTAAGCATTACCTTTTTTTATATAACCTTTTCTTTAATGGGATACCTGCAAATGACGTAGTAAGGGTATCTCGATTCTGATTGGTTATTAAAACATGAATGCAAAACGTTTTTTATGTTCGAAACTGTTCCTTTCATTCTATTTCGAGTAAGCCAAATTCGTCAAGTATCAATTCTCTTAAGTGACACATTCTATATTCTTTCACAAACATTTCAATTCCTTCACTATATATATTTATTATTTAACACAACGACAGGCACGGAGCCATGTAGAACATAAAAAAACTGATTATGCATCGAAGTTAACAAAAATATATTATGGATAAAATAAAATACATAAACAAATAATAAATCTGAAGTAAAAGACGTAGACAAGAAACAATTATATTTCAGCGAATTCGATGTGCGACGCGGCTCTCTATTTAATTAATTTCCGGTTAATTAAGATTTTAACTTACGTGGAGAAACTTAGCTCAATTTTCAACGCTATTTTGTTTGTAAAGGATCAGCTGACGTCATAGGTCATATGTGTGGGTATCCGTGATCTTTTTCTTCTTGAAGTTTCAGTACCCAATTCTTAAACAGTTAAATTTCTAAGGTTGAAAACAACGGATTACGATATTTAAACATTTGATATCAATCTAATCTAAAAATTAATTTTTAATACAGTTTTCAGCTATTTTGGCAGTTATTTGTATTTATTTTTTTTGCAATTTTCAACGGCATCATTATCATTACATCTATGTAGTTTTCTCTGTTCAAATGTTGCTGGTAAAGACGGGACATGATTAGACGGTTTGGTAGTGTAGTGAGGAGATCGGGTAATACCATCACTATCTTTTTCTGACTAAAACGTGCACAAGCCAGCCAAATCTTTGGATTAACACTAAAGGATGAATTCTAGACTCTTTTCAATCATCCATAAACTTGGAAATAGTGCAATATAAAAGATAAAATATCACAGAATTAGAAGTAAAGGTGCGACAATTATTGAAAGACACCGTATATAAATATTTGATAAGAAGAAAAAGGAAATAGTTTTCAAGATCCTTTTGTCATATTTTTGCAAATATTTGTGTATACAAAGAATATTGAATTTTTGAATTCAAGCTAAATACACTGAAAGTTGAAATATATGTTTTATGGTGCATGGTAAAACACTACTGTAAAATACTAATGAATAAATTCTTAAGCAAAGAATCATAAAATTTACCTTTCCAATTACATATTTTAATAACAAACGCAAATTTCATATCAGTTTTAAATATAAGACATGACTTTAAATTATCTATATGTACAGATAAGAAATTTTCCGCTATATTCAATATTTACAAAATATTGACAAACATTTCGCTAATTATCATCCAATTTTAAGTCATCAGTATAAAATATCAATATAAATTTCATCGATATTCAGTATTCACTGAGTACTATTCGCAAAATATATGCAAAATATGTATTTATAAGAGTTAAAATGGAGAAATTGATGCTCATGTACTGTATATATACATGTTCCCATATCTGCCTTTAATATTAACCTATAACTTTCTGGATTCACAAAATAAAAATTTTGAGTGCGTAAAAATATTATTCAAATTTACTGCAACCTTAATTAGGTAATAAGGTTTTTGGCAAAATATTTTACTCTTTATTTTTTAATATTTGAAGGTAACAATTTCAGTTAAAAAAATTCCATATTTTTATACATATCAGCTGTTTAATTATGACCTCACTTATTGTGTTATTATTTGCTTGCACTGTTGCTACGAATTTCTGCCTGACTCAAAAGAGGGCGCTGTAATAATTCATAATCACTTCATAATAATAATTCATGTATCATTTGTGTTGCAACGAAATGGTATGAAAGCTTATTGGTGGGAAGCGAAACAAATATCACGCCATCATCATTGTTTGTTTTTATTGTTTACTTTCTTAAATATGATTGTTATTAAATATGGCCTTTTTATTGATTGCACCATTCTACACTGAACTAATCTGCAATAACCGTTATTATTTGCTGCTCGCCACTCCTTTAACAGAAACAAGTGGTCCTAGACTGTTATGTGAAGAAAGAATCCTCAAAAATTTTTTCCTTAGAGGAATTAAGGTTATTTTATGGAAAAACTTACTTTTGAATCAATTTACAGTGCGCAAGGAAAATAAAAAAATATCACTCGGAATAATTTTTTGTCCAATGTTTTTATTTAGTCTTGTTTAAAATGGCATAAAAGTTTGTATAGGGGTAAATTTCAATTTTGAGGCCTTTTAGAAACTGATATAATTTTAAAAATAAAATTAAAATTGATCATTATTGCAGACTAAAATTAATTCGTTTTCGTGACTTGCAAATGCTTTAATGGTGATTGCGAAGATTAAACTAAAACTTATACTTGCGGGAATCTTATACGTCATCATTAAATAAAAAACACACAAACTGGTAACAGACCGGACAGTTTTACGTGATTGAATTTTTTTTACCACCACACGTAAACTTTTTAGTCTTAAGACGTTATGGCCGAAATATGGTTCACAGATTTATTTTGCATAGGACGAGCAATTAATAAAGCTTCACTAATTGATTTTAAAAAGTCGATAACATACCGGGCAGTTTAGAAAATACTCATCTTTTGAAAATCTAAAACTATTTATAAGTAAACTCTTTCTAAAGATTTATTAAAAATGATTCTTCCTTTATATTGAATCAAGAAAGAAATTTTAAAAAAGTGATTGTATCACCTACTGAGTAATTTTAAGAAAGATTATCTTTGGTAACAGACCTAAATAGTACAGATTGGGCGCTTCTCTTGGACAACACGAAACAATTAATTCGTACCAGGAAATTTAAAAAAAACACTCTAAGATATCTTTTAATTTTATTATGAAAGGAATTTTTTAAAATACATAAGTGTTTTTCATTTACATTATACTTGAGAAATCGGTAAATTATAGAAAAATTGACTTTGTCGTTTTGAGCAGCCTATTTTCTACGATCGCTTTTTGCTAAAAATTCTTTCAATACGATTTGACAAATTCTTATAATATAATACATATTAACTCTTAATCGTATGTAAGTTTTGACATGTTACTCTTAATACATATTAACTCTTAATCGTACGTAAGTTTTGACATATTACTCTTAATACATATTAACTCTTAATCATATGCAAGTTTTGACATATTACTCTTAATACATATTAACTGTCAATCGTATGTAAGTTTTGACATATTACTCTTAATACATATTAACTCTTAATCGCATGTAAGTTTTGACATATTACTCTTAATACATATCAACTCTTAATCATATGCAAGTTTTGACATATTACTCTTAATACATATTAACTCTTAATCGTATGTAAGTATCACAAAATCTAAGCCAAAAAGTTATTGGATTGTATAATAAAATTTCTTTGTCGAACATCAAAAATGCCTCAAATATGAAATCAACCCATACCTTACATTTAAGAAAATGCTTTGAAAATTAACTAATAAAATAATAAACAATTACTGAAACTACTTTTTTTACGCGAATATATCTTTGGGTAAATAAATTTTATAATTGTTTTCAAAAACTTTTCCATTCATTTAAAAATTCTTGATATTTAGTTAAATGCGAAAATGTGACATTAACATTAACAAACCCAAACTTTCAACTTTTTCTGATGAAATTTTTTGTATCATACTTATCATATTGTCCCTTCCACTTCTCATTTGGACAGTCAAAAATCTAAATCCCTAAGAACAAAAGTAGTTTTTTTTTGAGGAAGTACGTTTTTGTTTCCAAATTTCGAATTTCAAAATATGGTCAGCACTAATTAATTAGCATAGTTGAGATTACTCCTTAGAACTATTAAGGTGGCACTTAGTTCCTAATAATCCGACAATTGAAGCAAAAATTATTCAAGGTGATATTGTTTTGAAACATGTTAAGTAATCATTAAATATTGTTCTCTTTTCCTTATTTACACGTATTAATTTTTCCTTTCGTCCTATTGTTTTCAAATTATGAATTCAGTTAGATTAAAGACTCATAGTTTACATAATTTTTTATGGGTATGTTTATGAATTTTGTAAAAATGAAGAAAAAAAATTTAAAAAAGAGGATAAGTTTTAACTAAAATTTATCACTGTATTATACGAATTACAAGTTTAAACTAGCGATTTAAATATGATATCGTAATAGTAAAAATATAACTGCATTTTATGGAAATGTAGGTATTTCTGAAGGACAAAAGGTATCTCAAGCGAAGAATATACGCGTGACTTGAAACGATTAATATTTTTTTAAGGGACATGATGGAACGTTGTGCTGAATCTTATGATAACTAGCGTTATGGAATATGATTAATGAAGATTTCATTTTATCATATAAAAAACATTATTGTGGTTGAATTTACGACTATTACAGACAGTTTAAAGTCTCTCTCATTCCAAGAATAACTAACAAGCTAAAATATTGTTCGAAAATAATTGTTAGCTGAAAATTAAAATCTTTCTCTATTTTTAAAGATTTACAGAATTAATAGAAAATGTTAAAACTAGTTATTTTGCTCTTTTTATTTACTAGTGCAGTGTATCTATTTCCTCTTCAAAAGCGAATGGTAGATCTCTCTCACACATATGATGAAAGAGCGAATACGGATCCTCGAAGTCTAGGATATATGATGACAATTGACCGAAAAGACGATTCACTGGGTCGCTGGTAAATTTCTTTTTATTAGAATTTTAAAATATTTTAATTTTTTTTCGTATCAATTTTAATAGTAATTAAATATTGAGGTTTTTTTATAAATATATATATTATGTATCAGTTAATATGAGTATGGGTGGATTTCAAATTTGAGGCATTTTTGATATTTGACAAAAAAATAATTTTTATTCCGGTGAATTTACAAAAATGCCTACGATTAAGAGTTATTATGTTTGATATTAAAGGAATTTGTCGAACACCTTATTTTCTATAAATTTTCAACAAAGAGCAATCCTGGAAAATAGGCCGAACAAAGCGACAAAGTCAAATTTTATACATTTATTATTTTACATAACCAAATATAACGTTGATATAAGTAAGTGATTAAAAACCCAAAGCAAAATGATCATTTATTGTCGGAAATAGTACAAATGAGTGAAGATTTCAGTACACTCTTGCAGTTTGCGATACGGTAAGGCAAGTTGGATAGCCTCCGAGTTTAGTTGATTTGGCGGAGTTCTTACAGCAACCGTGGAATGTGATGCTGTTGGTCATCATAAGGGACACGCAAGCTTCAATACCCGACCGTATCACATCCTGCATTCGTTCTTTGATTTTTTAATCACTTACTTATATCAATGTTGTACCTGGGCAATCAAAATTTTATTTCATTCGGCAACTCTTACTAGGTGCTCTAATTTTGATTATAGCGAGTGTATAATACAATTTCAAGACACTTATGTATTTTATGAAATTCATTTTATTATTAATTTAAAAGATATATTTGATTTTTGTTTTTAAAATTACCAGGTACGTATTAATTGTTTCGTGTCGTCCTAGAGAAATATCCAGACTGATAGTGTCAGGTCTGTTACTAAAGATAATCATTTTTAAAATTACTTGAGTCGATGATACTACCACTTTTTAATATTGCTTACAAGATTCTGTATTTAGGAAATATCATTTAAAAAAATCTTGAGATAAAAGATTTTTTTTCTAAGTTTTTTGATTTTAAAAAGTGGGTATTTTTTGTCTTGTTCGGTCTGTTAACGACTTTTCAAAGTTAATTTGTGAAGTTTTATTAATTGCTTGCCATAGATAAAGTAAGTTTAAGAACCACTTCGAAACATTAATATTGATTCTTAGTTTGTGAAAATCCGATAATTACTTTAAAAGTTATTCAGGATGTTTCATTTTTTTGTCACTGTACAGATCTATGGACCTTTTATTAAACTTGGAGAGAGAATATACAGAAAATTCAGAGCATATAAAGGGATGTACGGTATGCTGAACTACTTAGACAAATTATGTTTTTAACCCTTTTTGATTTTAACTGACGTCCCTAGAGCTACTACTGGCGCTTAAATACATTTCCTGTTACATGTTATGAAACAAATGTTTATTTTGGCTTACTATACCCTTTCCAAAAATTTTATAACGCTTTTTTTGAGTATCCTGTTCCTAGAAAACTTATAATTAGAAATTAGAATTAATTTGAAGGTTTTTGTTTTTTACAGGTTGCAATTTGAGGTTATTTCTACCGGAACACAGCAAGGCACGCACATGGATGCACCATCCCATGTAATTAAGGGAGGATTTAATATTGACCAGTTACCAATCGAAAATTTCATTGTACGTGCAACCGTCGTTGATATTTCAGCGAGAGTGGTATCAGACCCTGACACTCAGTTCTTCATTGATGATTTCATGGATTTCGAAAAGAATACTGGATGCAGTCTCGATGATACCTTTGTTCTTCTTCGTACCGGCTGGGACCAAAGATGGGGAAGCAATACTGACTACTTGGGTACAGATGATGGTGATTTAACAAAACTACATTTTCCAGGATTGGATTCCCTAGCTGCTCGCTGGTTAGTAGAAAGAAGGTCTATCAAGGGAGTCGGCATCGACACCTTCTCCATTGATGGCTCATCGCCATATTTTTTAAGCCATGCAATACTCCTTGGAGAAAATAAATACGTTCTTGAGAACTTGATGAATATTGGGCGAATTCCCCGATGTGGTGCTACTTTGTATATCATGCCAATGAAGTTGCGCGGAGCAAGTGGTGCGCCAACTCGGGTGATTGCTTCTTATAGTGAAGGAATGGAAGCCGGATGGAATTTTAAACCTCGGGAGATGGAAAGAGATCACTTTTACACAGAAATATGGCCTCACTGGAATTTTTCCTCTTGGGGGTGGACAAAAGACATGTTTAATGAGGAAATGTGGCCTTATTTCAATTTTACATCGGTTTGGTCAAATGATACTTTTGATGAAGGAATGTGGCCTAATTGGAATTTCACAACTTGGGGATGGTCAAAGGATGTGTTTAATGAGGAAATGTGGCCTGACTTCAATTCTTCATTTTGGGAATGGGCAGATGATGATAAACAGACTTGGTCAAATTAGGGTTTTTAATTTTAAGTGGGGTCAAAAGGTGATGTTAGTCAAACAATGCTGCCAGAATGGGATTTTTCATTTTTAGATTAATAAAGAGAGTTAGTTTATCTTTCTGATGAAATGATGTCTAACCGAAATTTTATTTCTTGTTTTTTTTTAATCTTGGAAATAAGTTTGATTTTACTCATTATGCATGAAATGAATTTGTCTTTTAAATATATGGCAAAGACAGTAATTGTTCGATTAATTAAAAAAGTTATTCCTTAACTTTTAAGATAAAAAAAAACTTGACAGTTAGAATGTTTCAGTGATTTCAAAATAATATATTTTCAATTTTAACAATTTCCTTCCACTGTTAATTTAAGTAGGCTTATCTAATGATTGACGATTGAGAAAAATATAATTATTTTCATAGAATAGATTTTTTTCAAAATATTATTTTTAAGTTCTGGTCTATTCTTCTTAAGTTTTAGGTAGTTTCAGTGTTCGTAAGCTGAAATATAACAAAAGTAATATTAATATAGAATTTATGATAAAAACGAAAGTTTTTACTATTGGGACCATTTATAAAGAAAAGATTTTGCCTTAATCATTAAGATTTTGATATGAAAGAAATAAAAATTAAAAAAAGAATAATTACAGGAATAAGCTGAAAAAAATAAATAAGCAAAAGCTGATTAATCTGTCTAAGCTTTTCCCTCTACTTACAAATTCAGTAATTTTTTATTTGGTTTAAAGAGACTTTACTTTGGCAGACTTTTTTATGCAGCATTTAGGGGGATTTAAAAGATACTGAAAGAGCTTTTTATTACAAAAAACTTTTCTTTGAAATTATTGAATTTTTTTAAACGCAAATGTTTCGTTGGAATTTTGATATTAAATGATCATTTATTATTTAAACAATAAAGCATTAATTTAAAAAATAAAGTAATAGCTTATTTGTAGCACATTTTTTTGAACAGATCATTAAAAGACAATTGTTGCCAAATCTTTTCGGGCTATATCATTGAATAAAAAATAACTTGATGCGATAAAAAAAAACAGAACATTAAACAAAAAAGATCTATATATCTTTGCACAAAAGATCCATTATCAGCAGCACAAAACTAATAAAAGTTATAGCGTCATTGACGTGCAAATTATTTATTTATCCCTTATTCATCGTATTTTACTAGAAATATTTATTTATCATCCCTTCTTAATATTACTCTCTATATATTTACGGCTTTTATTTTGTATCTCAAAATAAAAGTGTTGTTTTTCTATTATACACCAAAGTAGTTGCATGATATTACCATTTTATGAAACAGTTAATGATAATTACTAAACGTTATGATATTTTATGATATTACAGTGAATAATTTTCATCTACTATTTCTATAAATTCTTTGTGAAATTGTTTCCAGCCGACGGATGCTTTTAAAATAATGAATGCAAACTAACTATTAAATATTTTAAAACAAAATTAAGAATAAGCATCTCTCCCTATAGCTAAATAATATCTTTGTCGAAAAATTTTAATCGTTTACTGGGGTTACTTTGGCTATCAGGATAACATTGGCAAATCTCTAAGAAAAGTTTGTGCGGAAACTGTTACATGTGGCACGATTGAGACAGAAGTGCTTTCGTTTAGTGATAGTAAATAAGTGTGAAAATCTGTAATTTGTAAAGGGATTGATGTTCAGAAAGTAACTTTAATACCTTAGCAACTTTGATCTCTGAAGTGTATAGCAAAAGCTGGTATATTTTCAAATTTCTTTTTGAGTTAAGCAATTTTGTCACAATTTTTTAAAATTTTAACTTCCAATTTAAACTTTGCTAATGTAAATATCTTTTTAGTGCTTACAGAACGGAGAAAAGCTCGACATCAAATGCAAATGTAGATATATATCCCTTGTAAAGTGCATATCTTTTTATGATGAAATTTATTAAAACTAATATTAAATCTTAATTAAAGCCTAAACGCATTTTGGTGTGACATTCGTCTTTTCAGTGTGACTAAAGTGTGCATAAGTTGTCATAAAAAGTTACTATTTATAATAATGAAGGTTAGATTTTACAGGGCATAAAAAATATTGATAAAGGTGTGAAAATTATTTCATTATCAGTGTGATGAAAATTTGATTAAACAAAACTCAAGCGTGAAGTTAAATGAATTCTTACAACATCAACCTGTTACATAAACGAACGATGAACATAAAAAAAAAAACATTTTTCCATTTTACTAAAATGCTGTCAAACATTTGCTATATTTTTCGTCTTCAAATTTGATTTCATAACCATTAAAAATTATAATAGGAAGCATGGCATATTATTCAATAATAGTAGTTAAGTTGTATCCAATAAAGTAGTATTTTATTTGGTATTTGATAACAGTAAAAAGTATACGTATTTGATGACAAGTATTAGTAAAGTATTTGATATTTGATGACAGTAAAGAAGTATACTTTTTATTTGATATTTGATAGCAGTGAAGAAGTATGCTTTTCATTCAATATTTGATAGTAGTAAAGAAGTAGACTTTTTGTTTGATATTTTGACCACTTAAAGGTTCCTATTTTACGCTTTATAACAGAGGAGAGGACGTCTGATGTAGAGAATTTTTATAAATTTACCAAAGAAAGCTTATTAATAATTATTTTGAGCATATCCAGAACTTTTTCATTAAATTTGAAAGCTTATCTTTATTTTGAATGTTGTCCAAGCTAATTTGAATGTATACTTTTTTTAATAATTTTCTTCATAGATTTTTTTCAAAAATTTTGCTTTGCTTTATACTAAGCCCATATCTTAAAAGGTAGAGTGAAACGGCCATAAAACTTATTTAACATAAAAAACAAACAATTGAAATCAAAACCGAACTAATTATAATCTAAAATAAAGTTTTAAGTAATAATCTTAAGAATAATAAATGCAAAGGCTCATAAATTCATAAATAACATTTATTGAATATTAAAATTCGTAGTAACTGTTTTTTTAATTTAATAAATAAAATTTGCAACTATTTGGCCACCATGGCGCAAAAATAAGTTAAAAATGCGTATTAGACATGATAATAGAGAGATGACACTTTTTAGCCCTGGCTAAATTAAACTAAAGTTGCTTACTTTGATTGTTATTACACTACAACTTTAAATGTTGTAAGAACCTATAATTTTAAGTGTGGTATGTACCTATGACTTCCACGTCGGTAAGTATGTAAATATTGAGTTAAGATTCCTACAGTTCTCAGACAAATTTACTAGTGATAACGAAAATGATTCAAACTTCAATTCTTTAATATATTTGTGACCACCATTATATGCCAATATGTAAAAAGAAAAAAAAATGTTTTATGAGAACTGTAATTTAACATATCTCGAAACTTTAAGGTGGTATTTTATAAAAGAAAACTCTTATTAGCAACTGACATAATATTTATGAATGCCCTGTTAATATTGATATACCCCCCCCCCCTATCTCCCCATCTATGTGTCCGTCCATACTAGACCCATCTATCATTTGTTCGACTTAATACATTATTGGTTAATTAAAAGGAAGGAAACTTAAAAGTAACTGTTAAAATATGTATTAAGCATATTCATAACATAATTTCTCCTTTTATTATGAACGATGAATAAAAATAGTCTAAAATGGCCATTAAAAATTTATTTAAGAATTTATTTTTCCATTGTAAAAAGCTTATTAATAAATTCGTTTTCTAACAGTCGATGTTTTCTGATGCTACTACATATGAAAGTGAAGCACAATTTTGCTAATCCACCAAAATTTACGGAGAAATTTTGAATGATAAATAACAGAAATATTTCATTTCTTTACTAGCCCTCTGCCTTACATTAAGTGTTCTAAACATGACTGACGATTCAAAAAATAAATTAAAGAAAGACGGAGAGAGAAATGTATGTTTCGTTTCGTTCTGCTTACGTGACCAGATAATTAACTGTTACCAAATGGCGCTGCATTAGTACTGTTTAAAGTTTTTCACCGTCAGCAGAGTCATCTACTGACGAACTTCGTAACTAATTTAGAATTTTGTGAGAATAAATACTAATTACTCTGTACATTTCTGCCATCTTCCATTTTTTTTAAAAATTGACTTTTTAATAAAATTTTTAATAATTTTCGAGACATTTTATATGAATAAAAGCAGCTATTTATTTATTATCATTTTTTTCCTCAAAAGGCTGTTTTTATTCATATGCGTGTTATTGAATTGCGAATTGGGGATATTGAAAGTTGCGAAACTTGCTTCGGGTGTGCGGTACAAACTGATAGGCGTTGTTTGTTCTTGAATTTGTCAATAGTTGATTTTTATACCATTTATAGATTGATAATAATCAAGGTGAATGATTTTTATTTGTTTAATTGTTCACTATCTGAGTATCCATTATTTATACAGAATAAGAAGAATCGTAAATAATTTTTGATTAGTTATTATTCAATATTTCGGAACCGTCAGTTAGAATAATTTAAATAATAATAAAAGTTAGAAATACTCTGAAACAAGCTGTGTTTTTTACTATTTTTTGGTGATATTTTATTTTATCTCTCATGAGCACGTTCTATATCTCTGCGTTCGATAGAACTAGAAATTAGATTTTGTATATACATTTAGATATAAAAAAATCAAAAAAAAATCACAAGCATGACAAATTCAAATGAAACATTTTTCTAAAATGTTTTAGTTCTTAATTGCCTTAACATTTAAATTTTCAAAAATTTTTTTCAAAAATTATTTTTCAAAAATATTTTGAAAGAAAAGCTACAAATAAATAATAAGTCTTTACAATAAAAACGAGAGAGAAAAAAAAACGTTTTAGAGTTTTGTGCGAGTGAAAATTTTATAAAAGAGAACTTTATGAAAATACAGTTTTATATGTATTTGAACGAAATCAAAAAGCTAAGAATCATATATACATTAAATTCTATACAGAATGTTTTTTTTTTGTTGAAATTCTTTGCATGCAATTATGTAGTAAATTATCCGTACTTTTAAAACGACATTAAATCAATTCAAATTGAAAATGAAAGTTTGAGATATTTTAATCTATCTGCCCCGAGTGCTTTTAAAATATTGAAGGCGAATTCGCATATCGAATGCAAAAACGAATTTATTGCAATATTAAAGAAAATAGAGTTTTATTTCAAAATTTTAGTCTATAA